GCGTCCCTGATCATGTTTCAGTTACTAAGTCTCAGTTTACAACATCTTTGACTAGAAGTATGTATGGCCTAGTGGTTTAAGTGCTACCTAACATCATTACTGCAATCTTAGAGTCCTATGTTCAAATCTCAGGTTATCCTTTTTGTGGTGTCTTGATCATGCTCAATAAGTCTTTATTTACTAGCTCAAGGACTGTCTGTCCTGGTGGCTTAGTTGATATAGCATCAGTCACTTTCCTCTCAAAAATTACAAAGTTGCTGATTCAAATCTTAATTTTTTTTTTTCTTTGAAGGTGTCCTGACCATGTATTGCTTACTAAGTCTTGATTTACTGCTACTAACTACATATTTCTGGCTAGCTTAGTGGGTTAAGAGCCTGTTGTCTTCCTTTCCAAGGTTATTGAATTACTGGTTCAAATCTTGATTCTCTTTTTTTTTAAATTTAAGCAGGTCCCTGATTATGTCTCACTTCCTACATCTTAAAATTATTCAGTGTTACTCCATGTGGACACAGGGCTTAGTGGTTGAGCAGCCACCTTAATGCCTGAACTCACAGAGTTGTAGGTTTGAATCCCAGCTGAGCCTTTTCAAATTTGTGGGAGTCCTGATCATATTTTACTTACTAAGTCTTGATTTACTGCTCCGGAGGTCAATTCTGGTTAGCTCAGAAGCTTACCATCTAGACAACTAACTTCAACTCCTCTCTGTTACAAGTTCAAATCCTGAAAAGTTAATTTTAAATGCTTGCATGCTTTGATAATCTTTCACGTATCTTAACCTTGATTTACAAGCTGGCTGCTTCAAAGGGCTGTGTGGCTCAGGGGTTTAATACCCAACCAGCCTGTTCTTAGAAAGTCAGGTCCAAAGCTCGTCTTGCCTTTTGAATTTGTGGGTGTCTCAAATTATATTTCACTTTCAAAAAATCTTTGTCAATAAAAATGTCACAGAGCTGGCTATCTCAGAGGATAAGCAATCACATTGTACTGTAGTACCATCTATAGAATTGCCGGTTTGAACCTCAGCTCCTCCCTTTGCATTTTAAAACGTTAGGGCTCTTTCCTCTTGAAATAGGAGAACTAACACGCCATCTCTTGACCAGAGACAAGTGGCTCAAGGAATAGCAGCACTACCATGGCACCATAATACAAGGGTTCAAATCCCTGAAAGCACAGTAGACCACAAGGACAAATTCCTAAATGTGCTTAAGAACCCATGATCAAAGCCACACATGTGCTGTAGACCCTCAGGGCACAATCATTAAGGCACCATAGACCCCAAGGGCAAAACCATGAAAGCACCATAGACCCCAAGGGCAAAACCATGAAACACTATAGACCCCAAGGGCAAAACCATGAAAGCACCATAGATCACAAGGGCAAAACCATGAAAGCACTATAGATCACAAGGGCAAAACCATGAAGGCACCATAGACCCCAAGGGCAAAACCATAAAAGCACTGTAGACCCCAAGGGCAAGACCATGAAAGCACTGTAAGTCCTCAGTGCAAAATCATAACTAGTGCTATAAAACCTGGGTGCTAAACAATGAAAGCAGTTGAACACTCAAAGGGCAGAACCATGTAGACCTCAAGTATGAAAGTGCAAAGGGCTAAACCAGGAATGAAATCTCTCCAGTACAACCATGGAAAACAGTCTCATGCCATGCACAAATCCAAACAATCTCCAGCTGTAATTGGAAACAAACCTCTTTGAAAGTTGAATTAGTTTTACAAAAATAATTTTTATGTTTTTTTTTTTTTAAATAACCTCCCAGACTCTCATTAACTGAAGCTCACCACTTGCTGGTGGGTCATCAGCAGATTGGAAGACTCATATACAGAGCCTAAGACAGCAAAGTCTTGGACTTGGATTTGAACCCTGGTCTCCAGCAGCCCAGCATGAGCTCTCACCCTCTGAACCAACCTTCCAGCTCAAAAGTTAATGTGCACGTTCTTATATTTCAGACGTAGACAGATTTTACACAATAAAAAAAAAACAAACCATAAAAGCACCTGAAATTCATGGGCAACTGCAGAGTTCTACTCTCAAATTCAGCTGAATCAGTTCCCATGTGGCAGGTGAAATCTATGGATGGGTTGAAGAGTAATTGTCTACTTCATGTTGGTATCTCTAGTTGTGTGGAAAGGTATTTGTGAGTAAAGTGTACATTGTTTAAGGGAAGATCTAGTGTCCCTCATCACAACACGACTGTTCACCGCATAGAGGCATCTCCAGGTATGTTCACTGAAAGTGACAAAGAGAGGTGATCTAAACCATGGGCTCGCTCTCCTCGAAACAAAAAGAAAAACACGAGGGCAGGAAAATAAAACATGCAATAAACATAGCCCACGGTATATATGAGTGTGGAGGCTTTAACTCATTCACCGTCCATTACAAATTGTTCCATTAGCAGTTGGTCTGCTCCTCTGTCTTCCCTACTATGATTGTGTTTGGTTCATGCTGCAGCAATTTATCACCACCATAATCTGACCGGTCTAAAAGTGATCTAAGCGGAGAATGGCTGGGGCTTTGCAGCAATGTCAATTCAATTGGAGACTTTTAGATATGTGGCTCCCCATTGCTTTGGGCTTACATTCAACATTTTATCACGTAACAATTGGAAAAAAAAAAAACTTTTATTTTTTTTTTTCACTGTCTTTTTCCCCCCGTTAGATTCACCTTCTCTGTTTGTCTGGGTGATCATTTTGAAGGGACAGAAATTACGTGAAACCCATTTTTTTCAGAGTTGTCATTAGAACAGAAAAAAGAAATCTTCCAATTTGGACTCCTGGTTACCTTCACTTTGAAGAGATTGGGCACTATTTGTGCTAGTGACACCAATAATGGGGCACTATTCCTGCCCTATTTCCAAAGATGGGGCACTATTCCGCCCTTTAATACTAACGATGGGACTTTATTCCTACCACTGGCACCAATGATGGGACACTATTCCTCCCACTGATACCAATGATGGGGCACTATTCCTCCCACTGATATCAATGATGGGGCACTATTCCTCCCACTGATACCAATGATGGGGCACTATTCCTCCCAGTGACACCAATGATGGGGCTTTATTCCTCCCACTGATACCAATGATGGGGCACTATTCCTCCCACTGATACCAATGATGGGGCACTATTCCTCCCACTGATATCAATGATGGGGCACTATTCCTCCCACTGATACCAATGATGGGGCACTATTCCTCCCAGTGACACCAATGATGGGGCTTTATTCCTCCCACTGATACCAATGATGGGGCACTATTCCTCCCACTGATACCAATGATGGGGCACTATTCCTCCCAGTGACACCAATGATGGGGCTTTATTCCTCCACTGGCACCAATGATAGGGCACTATTCCTCCCACTGATACCAATGATAGGGCACTATTCCTCCCACTGATACCAATGATAGGGCACTATTCCTCCCACTGACACCAATGATGGGGCTTTATTTCTCCACTGGCACCAATGATGGGGCACTATTCCTCCCACTGGCACCAATGATGGAGCACTATTCCTCCCACTGATACCAATGATGGGGCACTATTCCCCCCCACTGACACCAATGATGGGGAACTATTCCTCCCACTAACACCAATGATAGGACACTATTCCTCCCACTCACACCAATGATGGGGCACTATTCCTCCCACTCACACCAATGATGGGGCACTATTCCTCCCACTGACACCAATGATGGGGCACTATTCCTCCCACTGATACCAATGATGGGGCACTATTCCCCCCACTGACACCAATGATGGGGCACTATTCCTCCCACTGATACCAATGATGGGGCACTATTCCTCCCACTGGCACCAATGATGGGACACTATTCCTCCCACTGATACCAATGATAGGGGACTATTCCTCCCACTGATACCAACAATGGGGCACTATTCATTTGTTGAGGCTACACTGATGGGCACTGATGAGGTGGCTCTGTTGGGCATTGATGGGCACTTTGGGGCTGCACTGATGCAGTGCAGATGTCTCCTTTGACAGTTGCCGGTTATCAGCTGTACTTTCCTTCACACTTTAACAGTGTTTAGAAAAAGTACTGCCGATAACCGGCAAGTGTATTTACGTGGTGATCAGCTGTGATTGGACACAGATGATCACGTGGTAAAAGGCCGATGTGATCGGCCTTTTAACATGTTATGTGATCAGGACATGATAAGGACACAGTGATCACAGACAGAGCTGGGTGTGCGCCACTGGGGTCGCTTTCTGCGATGACATCATATGACGCCCTCCCAGAACTGGACAACCGCGCTGTAGTCATCATTCGTCTATAGCACGGTAAGGAAATGGTTAAATAACGTCACAGAGATACAGCAGGGAAATAAAAGCTTTCACAACTACATTTACAAAGCATAAAGGTAACAACGGAATTTGGGTTCTTTGGATGATTAGACTTTATAGAATGAAAGCCTCCACTATATACAACAACCCATTCCCTTTAAAATGGAAATGAAAGGCAAAACATTTGTGTATAGACATAAAAAAAACATTATAAACCCTTTTTTCCCCCATTTTTATAGGTGATCACATTCCCCAAGGGACTCCCTTAATTTGCAGGGATTTCCTCTCACTTCCTGTTTGGCTATGGGACAGGAAGTGATGGGAAATCTCCCCAATGGGGCACAGATGGCAAAAAAAAAACAAAAAAACTGACAGGGGTTATAACCCTCCCTTACTCTATCCAAATGAAAACAAAAAGTTTTGCCTATAGTTCTAGTTTAAGGGTTTTCCATTGAAATCAGTTGACCCGATGATGGCAAAATGCAATTATTTTTTTTTGCCTTCCTCTGGATCAACTGTGGGTATAGGATTATAACTTTTTTTATTCCATTTTATGGTTTATGGCTTTTTTTTTAGCCAGACTAACTATGTAACTATGAATGATCTGCATTTTTCAGAAATTCAATACAAACTTTCAAATGAAATTCTACTGATATACGGGGCTGATATCCGAACAATCCATACTTACTTTGCCTCCGCCTGCTTCTACTTCATCTTTCTTCGACTGGTTAGAAAAGAAATAAAAAAAGAACAATGTTAGGCAATGAGCAATTAATAAAGCAGTCAAGTCAGTCATCGTGTGATTTGCTGGAACACATGCAGTCTGATCTGTCCAGTCTGCATTTCCTGCATCACGATTGGCTGGCTCCCTGAACTGCATGGAGACAAATCGGATTGCACATGTTAAAGGTGGTCATGCACGCTTCGATAAAGGATTTATAAAAAATAAATGATATAATAAGTTATATGTATACAATTTGTATAAATCATGATCATTTCTAATCGGAATAAATCGATCTATAGTCAACAAATTGAGAAAGCAAATGATCATGGTGCGACAGACCCTTACCCCGTATTCATAGGATAGGGTCCATGGCCTATCCCAGGACGTATGTTGGACTTGCCGTAGATGACCATGAAGAAAAAATGGAAGTCCGACATACTTTGGAATAGAATATACAAATCCATAAAAAACAACAAAAGAATCCATGATCTAGTCAACAACCCTTTCCATGGATATGCCACACCCGGGTAAGAATTTCAACCAATGGTTAAGATTTGGGATGAGCTGAATTGCTCTCCATTGGGTACAGCAAACTTCAACGAAGTTTGGATGCCCAACTCAAACACAATTGAAACTGATAGGGGCCAAACTTGTCCGATCAAACACGCCCATTTTCTAAGGCAGGGGTCTCCAAACTATGGCCCTCCAGGTGTTGAGGAACTGCAAGTCCCAAAAATGGAAGTCTGACACACTTTGGAATAGAATATAAAAATCCATCAAAGACAACAAAACAATCCACGGTCTAGTCAGCAGCCCTTTCCATGGATATGCCACACCCAGGGAAGTGAATTTCAACCAATGGTTAAGATTGGGGATGAGCGGAATTGCTCTCCATTGGGTCCAGCAAACTTCAACGAAGTTTAGATGCCGAACCCAAACACAATTGAAACCTATAGGAGCTTAATCTGTCCGATCAAACATGGCCACCTTCTAGGGCAGAGGTCTCCAAACTATGGCCCTCTAGGTGTTGAGGAACTGCAAGTCCCATGAGGCCTTGCAAGACCCTGACTATGGCCCTCCAGGTGTTGAGGAACTGCAAGACCCATGAGGCCTTGCAAGACTCTGACAGCCACTGGCAAGACTCCCAGAGGCAGAGGCATGATGGGACTTGTAGTACTTCAATAGCTGGAGGGCCATAGTTTGGAGACCCCTGTCCAAAAAAAATAGCATGGGGGGGGGGGTTTGGGGGGTAGCAGACTGCCTGCATCCAAGGTCGATAATGCACATGTGGTCGCTACATGTGAGTGAACGCAATTAGCTGCGGGTGCCAGCAGCCTTCCATTGCTTTCAATGGGGCTGCCTCCCGCAGCTAAGCATGGTAACCCCTGCTGGGGTTCTCACTTATAATCACAGGCAGGTTGTATTCCCAAATGTGAATGTACCCTAAAAGGCCACATGCCCTCAACATAGGGGAAGGGGGGGCTTCCAGCAAAGCACCTTGTCCCCCAGGCTGATGAGGTCCAAACACCCGTACAGCCAGAGTTCTGTCCAAACCCAGTTATGATACATACCATCATGTGTGACCGATCCCATCTCTGTGTCCACCACAGGACCTCATATTCCTAATATAATCCATGGAAATGCGATCATATTCACGGGCAAATCATCTCAGTGCTGCCAATCGATGCCAAATCAAAAATCAATAAATAATATTCTGCCCTGGCCAATCAGCTGAGTTTGATAGAATCCGATCTAAATTGAGTCTAAATCGGTTGGAAGGGAAGTTGTTTGTGGATCGGGTTGTTTGTGAATAATGAAATCGAAGCATGTATGGCCACCATAAGGAGAATCTAAAAGCAAGTAGTCAGCACTTCTTCTGATCAGATGGAAAGCTGCAACAATGTATCATCTTTTAGTAAATGTTAACAATGGTATGGAAACGTACAAATGTAAACAAACAATGAAACTTTATTAAACATTTTTCACGTTAGAGGAGACGACAAGAGGGACATTTTTAGTGGGGTGTTTCGGTATATTCCAGAGCAAGGGTCTCCAAACTTTCTAATTGAAGGGCCAGTTTATTATCCTTCAGACTTTAGAGGGGCCAGACTGTGGCCAATAGGAGTAGAAAATGTCCTGGCGTCAGTAACAATGCCCCATCAATGGTGTCCCAGAGAGGAATAGTTCCCTCATCATTGGTGTCAGTGGGAGGAATAGTGCCCCATCATTGGTATCAGTGGGAGGAATAGTGCCCCATCATTGGTATCAGTGGGAGGAATAGTGCCCCATCATTGGTATCAGTGGGAGGAATAGTGCCCCATCATTGGTGTCAGTGGGAGGAATAGTGCCCCATCATTGGTGTCAGTGGGAGGAATAGTGTCCCATCATTGGTATCAGTGGGAGGAATAGTGCCCCATCATTGGTATCAGTGGGAGGAATAGTGCCCCATCATTGGTGTCAGTGGGAGGAATAGTGCCCCATCATTGGTATCAGTGGGAGGGATAGTTTTCTCATCATTAGTGTCAGTGGGAGGAATAGTGTCCCATCATTGGTGTCAGTGGGAGGAATAGTGCCCCATCATTGGTATCAGTGGGAGGAATAGTGCCCCATCATTGGTGTCAGTGGGAGGAATAGTACCCCATCATTGGTATCAGTGGGAGGAATAGTGCCCCATCATTGGTATCAGTGGGAGGAATAGTGCTCCATCGTTGGTGCCAGTGGGAAGAATAGTATCCCATCATTGGTGTCAATGGGAGGAATAGTGTCCCACCATTGGTGTCAATGGGAGGAATAGTACCCTAACATTGGTGTCAATGGGAGGAATAGTGTCCCACCATTGGTGTCAGTGGAAGGAATAGTACCCTAACATTGGTGTCAGTGAGAGGAATAGTTCCCTCATCATTGGTGTCAGTGGAAGGAATAGTGTCCCATCATTGAAGGGCCAGTTTATTATCCTTCAGACTTTAGAGGGACCAGACTGTGGCCAATAGGAGTAGAAAATGTCCTAGCGTCAGTAACAATGCCCCATCAATGGTGTCCCAGAGAGGAATAGTTCCCTCATCATTGATGTCAGTGGGAGGAATAGTGCCCCATCATTGGTGTCAGTGGGAGGAATAGTGCCCCATCATTGGTGTCAGTGGGAGGAATAGTGCCCCATCATTGGTGTCAGCGGGAGGAATAGTGCCCCATCATTGGTGTCAGTGGGAGGAATAGTGCCCCATCATTGGTATCAATTGGAGGAATAGTGTCCCATCAGTGGTATCAGTGGGAGGAATAGTGCCCCATCATTGGTATCAGTGGGAGGAATAGTGCCCCATCATTGGTATCAGTGGGAGGAATAGTGCTCCATCGTTGGTGTCAGTGGGAGGAATAGTGCTGCATCATTGGTGTCAGTGGCAGAAATTATTCCTCATTGTTATCGTCAGTAGATAAAGGCAAGCAAAGGGCCCCACCCAGTCCCTGGGCCACAGTTTGGAGACCGCTGTTCCAGATCAACAAAATCTTTTTACCTTTCAAAGGAAAAAAAAGGCTAACAAGAGATAGAGACTAGATCAATATACGGCTGATCCTCATGGAAAGTCAGATCACATCTATTTCATTACCATCAGGATATTGCTGCTACAGAATAACCTCGTTATTTCAAATATTAAAATACAGAAAACATGATAAACTTCCCATCAATAACATTTATACACACTGCCTGTGTGTTGCACCAATCTTGAATTTTGCATTTAAAGTGACACCTTATTCTCCAGAAATAAACCTTTACTTAATAGCCCTGTAATATATTTGTTTGCTACTGTGTTCTTCTCTCTCCTTGTACTGTCCTCCATGAGCTCCCGAACTTCTCTTTTTCCCCCCTTACTTCACTGCACAATGCATACTACAAGGCCACGCTCTCTTGCTTGCTGCTGAAATGGACTTTGGACTATAGATTGTGGAGTCCAGAGTCCATAGTCCATCTCAGGGGAGAGCGAGGGAGGGTGGCTACATTCCTACATACAGTGGGACCATGGAGAATGAATGTAGCCTCCATCTAACAGGTCCATAGTCCATAGTTTGAGCAAGGGAGGGTGGCTATGTTCCTACATACAGTGGGTCAATGGAGAATGAATGTAGCCACCCTCTACAAGGTCCATAGTTCCAGCAAGGGAGGGAGGCTGTGTTCCTACATACAGTGGGCCCATGGAGAATGAACAGAGCCACCCTCTAACAGGTCCATAGTTCAAGCAAGGGAGGGTGGCTAAATTTCAACATACAGTGGGACCATGGAGAATGAGTGTAGCCACCCTCTAACAGGTCCATAGTCCACAGTTCAAGCAAGGGAGGGTGGCTATGTTTCAACATACAGTGGGACCATGGAAAAGGAATGTAGCCTCCATCTAACAGGGCAATAGTTCCAGCAAAGGAGGGTGCCTACATTCCTACATACATTGGGTCCATGGAGAATGAACAGAACCACTCCTTAACAGGTGCATAGTCCATAGTTCAAGCTGGTGAGGAGTGGCTACATTCCTACATACATTGGAACCATGGACAATGAATGTAGCCACCCTCTAACAGGTCCATGGTCCATAGTCCATAGTTCGAGCAAGCGAGGGTGGCTACATTTCAACATACAGTGGGACAATGGAGAATGAATGTAGCCACCCTCTAACAGGTCCATAGTCCATAGTTCAAGCAAGGGAGGATGGCTACGTTCCTACATACAGTGGGATCATAGAGAATTAATGTATCCACCCTCTAAGAGATGCATAGTTCAAGGAAGGGAGGGTGGCTACGTTCCTACATACAGTGGGACCATGGAAAATGAATGTAGCCTCCATCTAGCAGGTCCATAGTCCATAGTTCAAGCAAGTGAGTAGTGACTATGTTCCTACTTACAATGGGATCATGGATAATGAACAGAACCACCCTCTAACAGATCCATAGTCCATAGTTCAAGCAAGGGAGGGTGGCTACGTTCCTACATACAATGGGACCATGGAGAATGAATGTAG